AAGAGTCAAACATCACAAAATGATTCACATGTTCATGGTTCAACTAAACAATCCTCTCTCTGCCAATAGTTTCGGTTCTTCAAAACAATAAACAACGATCTTGATGTTCGACTGTGATCGATACACATAGCGAGCAGAACATCTTACAGGATGAGCCTGGTCGATGCGTCGCTCTGGTACAAAGAGACATCTCTCTGAGAAGCAGCAGACGACAGCAGGACGAGTTTCACAAGATAAAAGCAAACCGCCAACCAGCTTAGCAGGTCCATGATTTGTCTATCAAGTTCTACTTTTGTTTAAGTGCCACTACAGTGTTTGATATCTCTCTGAAACGGTCATCAGAGGTTTCCTGACCGACTATAGAAATGTAGCTAAACGAGTGGTTCATAACGGGATAAGGCACTGAGGAATAAATATGCTTAAATATGCCGACACATACGTCCCAATTTCTATTTATACAGTATTTTGTTTCTAAATCTTTCATTTATTTTGCAGTTGATATAATAATGAACCACAGGATCAAAATGATTCATACATTACTAGATGTAAGCTACTACTGAAGGTCTACATGAAACCACATATTTTTTAAATATTAACTTAAACTCTGACTTGCTGTATGCTTCTGTAGCTACAGGTCAGACACAAGATGTGTGATGCACCGTCTGTCAAGTTAGCAGCCTGGCAGAGAGGATACATCATGGGACATTAGGTTCTTGCCAAAGAGTTCAAATGTAACACATGCTCCATATATTTTAAGTGGTCGGTAACTGAACAACTGGGCCTTTGTTTCAGTATCTACAAAACGAACAAGCACCAGATGACATGTCTCTTTCAGGGCCATTTTGCTGCTGTCAAAGAGGAAGCACATTGTTCCCTTTGAAAATGAGAAGTTCTTTCAATCTTGCAACCAAAAGCAAGCTCGCAATCTGTCTTTAAAGAACCATCCATGCCATACTCATATCTCTCACTCACACACACACACACACACAGGAAGAGGCAACACATGCTAGAATTGTGTGATTTTAGTGAAGATTATCTCACATATTCTGGAAAACAAAATGTTTATTATCATTGGTTGGAGTAATTGTCTCCATGGGAGCTTTGCCATCAGTGCACATTGTGCATCTCAGCTGGGAAAGCTGAGATGGCGTTTGCACTTGGCTGGTCAATTAGGCTATCTTTGCTCTAGCTCTCCAAAGAATAAATGCATGACATGTATTCAACTGTAGACAACAACAACTCAAGGATGGCTGGGGTGTTCAGGCTGCAGGCCAACAACAAGCCTACATGTCAATGTCAACGTCTCCAGGATCTGAACATCAGGGTGTTAATTGTGCTTGGTATTGTTCCCCTGCAAAGAGGGATGAAGAGGCCCATGCGGCTGCTTTAGCAGTGAGTGCTGAATGATTTATAACATGTCTTACCGTGGCTTCTGGGATCCAGCTAGCTCTAGAGCTAGCTGTCCGGCCTGGCTGGAAAAATAATGGTCTCCCTCCCTTTTCCTCGGCACTGGCGTCTACTCAACACGAACAAACCACATTGTGCCCGTCGGTGCTTTTACTCAAAGTCCTCTCCATCCTGATTGCTCCCAGTTTATTGGACAGCTGGCAGGTGTGCGCGACTTGACACGAGTAGCGTGCCAGTCAATTAAAGTGACAGCTAAGCTGACTGACGCCTGCCAGCTAAACTAGCCAGGCTAGGTATCAAGAGCTGCCTTCAGAGAGAAAATCAGAGGCTAGCTGTGGCTGCTGTTAGCAGCGCCGCTAACTAAATAACGTGACGCCAGGAGCTGCCCGGAACGTTTTCAATGGGACACCGATTCATTAATCTCCACGGGTCCGCAACGTGCTCCGCTCCGTGCTGTCATTACGTTGGTGTGGTCTGCGGATTTCGTCCCCGGTTCGTGTTATCCCCATTTTGCTCGAGTCTCATCCGTTTTTGTTCAGGACTTCATGATGGCGGAGCGGGGTGGGAGCCGAAAGGAAAACGGAAGTGCTCTTCTTCGACGCTTCCGAAGTGATCAACGACGCCCACGTGTGGCCAAAGCAGGTCCAGCAAAACATCAACATGATTAAAATCAACAGTTATCTGTATTACAGCTGTCAGTAGTCTTCAGTTAGGATGTGTTCAGTGGGGAAATCAAAGTAAAAACATTTAACAGTTGTGGAGGAAATATTTTGAATATGTACTTGAGTAAAAGTAGTAATACCACTCTAAGTATTATCAACAAAATGCACTTAAGTAATCAAAAACTCTCATTAGACAGTAAAATGACTCATGTGAGTGCTATAGTATTATAATATTGTTTTATTATTACAGACACATTCATGTGTAATAAGTATTTTAATGTTGTTGCTGTGCAAGGTAGAGGTCATTTTAAATGATTTACATTTGTTGGGTAGTTTAATCTATAATTAAGCATCACGTTTCAAGGATTTCGAGCATTTCTCGCCATTATGCAACACAGGGATGCACAACGAAATGCAGTTGTAGCCTATTTCCTACACAATGAATATGATACAGGTATGATAGTCACATGTAAAACCTGCATTTGAAAAGTAACAACTAGGCTTACTGGAATGTGGTGAAGTAAAAAGTACAATATCTCCCTCTGAAATGTGGAGCACAAACACAAACTATCTTAAAAATGTAATTGTTAAGTAAAGCAAAGTCTAATTTATACATCATTATAAAAATCATGAAACAAGGGGAAATGCATCTTCACAATTTCTTTTTTAATCCTGACCCAAATCAAAAGCTATTTCAGAAAAATTATAATATTTGACCCAAATAATAAGAAAGTAAGCACTTTAAAATAAAAGTCATCATAGGAAGTGATTTCTACAACTGTCCACTGAACACAATACAACTTAGTTTATATATTCACATACTGACAACGGAGTTGAAAGTTCAACAAATACCAATTGGTATCAAGCTTTTTCGGCACCCATCTACTTTAACAGTGATATATGTTTGGGTGCAAGCCTTGCTTTCTGTTAAGTATTGCATATTGCATCACAAACAGACAGATGGCTTATGTTTATTAACCGATGACTTGTCAGATGACAGTGTATCATTTGAGTTTAGCTGTAAAGTCAATCTATGCAATCCTTCTTCTATTCAATTTCAATTTAATTCAATATATTTTGTATAGCGCTTTACAATCTGTACACATGCGACCTCCTCTGTCCCGGGACCCTCACATCAATTATTCCTTTTAATGTGAATACATTTTGAAGTTTGACATCAGTTAACTTAATTATCTCCGCACACACGGACACTCGTCATCACAATCACACATATGGTTTGTTTGGCTGAGCCTCTCATGATCCGCTCAGTATAATCTCTGATGTGCACTTGTAGCTGACTGACACACACACACACACACACACACACACACACACACACACACACACACACACACACACACACACACACACACACACACACACACACACACACACACACACACACACACACACACACACACACACACACACACGCACACACACACGCACGCACGCACGCACAGACACACATTAAAACCAAACATTTCCCTCTGTATCTTTCTATATGATCATTCTCCCTTGCAATCAGCTGCTGATATCCTTTAAAATGTATTAAAACTAAAATTAAACCTATACATACGTAACCTTCTGCCACTCAGGCCTCCCCTTTCCTCTCCTTAGTTTCATTCATACTTTCCTCACCCATATCTCTCCTGCCCTCCACTCCACAGACATCCTTTCACAGCCGGGGCTTTGCATAACACCACAGCTGGCCCACTGCAACGAGGGAGGGGGGAAAGATATCAAAATCGTTTCTGGCTTCCGCTGAGGATTATGCTTCTTATGCAAACAGATTTTGGATGAATTTACATAACAGAGAAGCAGTTAAGGTCAGATGTGCAGAAGTGTTTCAAATCAGCCAGTGTAAGTGAAGACCGACCTCGGGGCATTAATCCCTGACATTGTCATCAGAGTATTTCATGGAAGAAATAATCTTTTTGTTTTTCTCCTCGCAAATGTAACCAATACTAATGCAGATTATCACACACTCGGATATTAGCCGTAACTGGATTGTGGCTCTTACATACATCCAAAATCAATTTGACTGTCATGTTTTTGAAAACAATGTGGGCTTGAACAACAGACGGAGGATCCGAATTAGCCTCTCTTCTTTTATAGTGTCACTGTCGAATTATTTTTAACAGAAACAATGAAGCCGATGATTTAGAGGGTTCAAACTCAAAGGAGTAAAGCCTACGATTAGTCAAAATGTAACATATAATCACAATACATAAGTATGTAGGTAGCCTATACATATTATTATAAGTTCACTCTTTTAAAATAATGCTTTCCCATTAGGAGTAATGCAGTTAACCTCACAAGAATTGATAAGAGTGTCCTGATCCAGAGGAAATGAACACCGGAAATGATTATTGTTATTAGGACATTGTATGTCTGAAGGGGGAATAAAAGCAAAACATTTTTACTTGGACTTTTTATTTGATGATTGTGGAGCATTTGATCTAAGTTGGATGGTTATTAGATGATGCAGAAGATGAGAGAAGACAAGGAGAGGCGAAGAAATTTCAGCAATAAATAAATATCCTGAAAAATCACTTTAACAAATACAATCAAACACAAAATAGTAAATGAGACAAAATGCATCTGAAAAACACAAAACTGACTTTTATCCAGTTCAAGTCCAATAAAAGCCTGTAAAACAGAGTTAACGTTATGATTACTGGTTACCCCTAATAACCTGTGAACTGACAGTATCCTAATTCTTCTGTCAGCCGTGGGCCCAGCTGGCAGTATAATCTACATGTAAACACTCAGCTGGAAGCAGAGCTGCATCCCTTCAGCTCATACATGAACCCGGTGGGCCCCGTCAAACCGCTGGCTCCTCCCCGCCGGCATACAACCCTGGATGCGGCCACACCTCCCTCATACAACCTCTCAGCATCCCTTCAGCCTTGGCAAACCGGGCGGACACACTGAGAAGCAGGCTGTCCTGGCTGAGGAGGAACTGGACCGATACTGAGAAGAAGATTAAGAAACACAAGGAAGACAGAGGCCTCTTTGCACTGAAGGTCAGCTGCCAAGTCTCGACTTCAGAGGTCGCGTATGATGCACTTGGCTGATGAAAAGAAATCACCAGAAAAAGGTGAGCACAAATACCCACATGATGACACTTAATTCTTATTGTCAAAATGGTTCTTTTATCTAAATTGACTTGTTTTTGAGAAGTATTTTCATAATGTCAGAAAATGAAGACACACACAAACACACAGAGTTCAGACATAGGACATAGTGTTCAACCCTTCTGCTGGAACAAAGACAACTCAATCTGTCTTAATCCTAACTTTCCTGCTCTGGCAAACATCACTCTGTTTTGTCCTCTTGCAGAAATGAGTTTGGGGGCAGCGTGCATCTTCCTGCGAGGAGGGAAAAATATTGTAAGTACAACAATAACAACCTTTTTGCTATTTTTAATTTTGATGGGATTGTGCTGATGTTTGATGAAAGTTCAATTGGTTTATATATGCCAAACGGTATGAAATTATTGCATGCCACTGATGATACACCTGCCAATACGGGCATAATCTACACTTCAATCCACAGTTTAATGTCTGTTACAGTGACGTTTAATTCTGTAGGAATAATATATTGAGCTATAAAAATAAATAAAACATCCATTTTGTTGATTTTGTGTTGGTTCACCTAACCAATTGTTTTTCTTTTTGAGCAGGCAAGAGGACTGGCTGATGAAGAGATTGATGGTAAATTAAACTCTCATAATCTACATTGCTGCTCAGTCTAATGATTTCATCAGTAAATGCAGATTAAACTCTTGCACATTCTATTCATTTACTTGTCAATTGCCACATAACCTTAACTGACTATTTTCTGTACGCCTCTGCAGAGCTACGTGATGCATTCAATGAGTTTGATAAAGACAAGGATGGGCTGATCAGCTGCAAGGACCTGGGGAATCTGATGAGGACAATGGGCTACATGCCCACGGAGATGGAGCTGATCGAGCTGAGCCAAAATATCAACATGAACCGTGAGTCCCTGCAGGGCTAAATATACAAAAAAAAAAAAGATTAGCTGTGTAGGGCTGCACACCTTTAGTCAATTAAATGACTAATCAGTCTTTTTGGTCTTGGTCTATAAGATTTTTGTTCTTGTTATGTAGTCATTTATTTCAATGACATATTTGTACAAAACTTAGAAGCACATCTCTGGTAAACACAAGATTTAAAGTGGTGCTTTTGTGTGACTCTTGAGGACAGTCCTACTTTTTCAACAGCAGAAATTGATGAGAAATTGTACAGCTATAAGCTCATTTGATGCAAAAATAACACAGAAATGAAGAAACGGAAGAGCCCACGGATGTCCTGAATCATTTCTTGTGATTTCCCCTGCAGTTGGTGGCAAAGTGGACTTTGATGACTTTGTAGATCTGATGGCCCCAAAGCTTCTGGCAGAAACGGCTGGGATGATTGGCGTGAAGGAGCTCAAAGACGCCTTTAAAGAGGTGAGGGTGAAACATTTCCCTGAAACTTTCCAAAATGCAGCAGCTTCAAAGCCAGATTTGACCGAAATATGCGCCCAACTCACTCACTGTGATGCCATAAAGATAACCACTGACCTCACTCTCTTGTGCTTCTGTGCGGTTTCTCTGGTCAGTTCGACACGGACGGAGACGGAGAGATCACCACAGAGGAGCTGCGGTCTGCCATGACCAAGCTGATGGGAGAGCACATGAACCGCAGGGAGATAGATGCCATAGTAAAAGAAGCAGACGACAACGGAGATGGCACAGTAGACTTTGAAGGTGTGACCCGTCTGTCAGCTGCAGTGACATGGAAATCAATAATAGAATAAATGCATCCACAGCAGTTTTATAAATGAATCTCTCACTAAACTAATCACACTCTTCCTCTCTGCTGCAGAGTTCGTCAGAATGATGTCCAACAAATGACAGTTGAGGAGGCTGTCAATCAAGGAAATACCATTGCACCTCTACGGACATGCGTTAATATTGATGCTGTCTTTCTATGAAGCTGGATTACAGATGAATTTGTAGGCTATATGTTAGGAACAAACAAGTAATCATTTCTTAAATTTGAATAAAGTGCTGCGAAGAAAAGCTAAGCAGTGTGAAGTTGTTTTCAGAGAGTATTTTACATCTATGCAAAGATTGATTGATATTTTTTAAGATCATTGAAACGACTGTGTAAACTATATTGATTTGTTTAATGGCATTTCTTTTAAATACAGAAAGTCATTTTGGATTGTTTTGTTGAATCGGATAGCATTTATGAAATGTACTGTATGTATTGGTAATAGAAAATATTTATTCTTTATAGAATTATTCCAACAGTATTATTATTACTGAAACAATGTTATCATGCAAAAATTAGATTTAAAGTTATCAAGCATTTATTAAGTGTATAGCAAATGTACATGTACAGTATTCGGCCTGGGCTAGTTGCAATGTGTTGGTCTACATAATGAATCTATGGATTGATTCCAACAAGTTGAATCCTGGTAACAAGTATTTTCCAGATATCTAAATAAAACCTTAAAGTATGTAAACTTTGCACAAGAGTTTTGGTTTGAATGAATGCGACATGTTTCCTGTGACACCTGAAGGAAGCCAAGGACACGGTGTATTCATCCATTAGTCTGCAAGAATCTTTATTTTATCAGTCCAGTTTATGGTTTCAGTGCCGACATGCAAAGCAAATGTCTTTCTCTATTCAAATGTGGAACACATATTCAGCATGACATCAGTAGTAAATCTACTTGCATAATAATACAAAACTCACTGCTTGTATAATAAACCAGCAGAATTATCTTTGGATTTCATGTACCAAAGAAGGGATTTGGAAACCAAAAACATCAGTGCTGCTGCTGCTGTTCTGTCGGCGGGTAGTTGAGGGTTGAGCAACTTCCCAGAACTGGCTTTGGAAGGACATCGGGATAAAGAGATCTCATAATTCTGACATCATGACGCATAACAGATTTGTATTTTGTGCCATAAAAAAGACCAAAAAAAAGATGTACTTGTCCCTAAATTTAGCCTGATGAAGAGTCTTTTTTTTTTCAATTTGGCAATGCCCAGTAAGTTTTTAACATTTGGGGAAATTCAGACACTGAGGAAAAGTGTGAGGAAACGTTTCAGAGTATTAGCTGTTTATTTTGTTTAAAGGAAAAGAGAAAACATATGTGACCAGACAGAAGCACAGCAAATCAGTGCTAGTTGGCATAGTTGTTTATTTTTTTCTCCACTGATACACAGTTAGCATTTTATCTGGAATAGCAGCTAGTGCACATTTCACAAAAACACCAAAGTTGTCTCAAATTTGCACCAGACTTTTTGCAGATTTCACTTCCTGATACAAAGACCTGTGAACAGAATATGTGGTTATTCTCCAGTACTGTGTCAATCTGACCCAAAGCCGGCACAGCTCAGACTAAACACCTGGGAATTTAGGGATGTGGACGGGGACACAGTGCCCCCTTGCAGTCGGGGACACATCAGCCAGACAGATGTTATTGCATGACATACGGGGCAGACTTCAAATAGACGAACAGATGGGGCACAAGGGCTTATAGTACCAATTACCAAAAGTGAAGCTGTTCTTGAACACACATCTGTCAGTGGCACTCCACAGATTGAATACTACGGGGCATAGCTGTGGCAATATACTTAATCTATAAGTAACACATTGTCAGTGCTGAACATAAATGCTCTTATGTGAAAGCAGGAAGTGAAAAAAGAATTATATAGGAAGGATTCATATTTTTTCATCCTTTATGATCTAATGTACGTGTTTGAAAGGGAAGTCCCATTTAAACTGAGCGGTGTAGTGTGAAGAGAGGTTAATACGGTCAAAGGAAGAATCCGATGATGTAATGCTCGCTGCCAGGCCTTTGCCCTGATCCTTCCCTGATCAGGGCCCGACCTTTATTTGCATTAATCCACAATAATCTCTCCCTCGGCTGCTCTCTGACTCAGTTCAGAGGTAACCACTTTGCCCAGCAGCTTACTACGGTTGAACCATTTGCAATCATCTCCCAACATTGATAACCCTCCACTCAGTCTTTGTTTGTTTGTGTGTGCAGATTTGTTTATTCTAAAATACTTAATCTTTCTGAGAAGTGGTTAGGGTTACACGCAGGGTATCTGCTGCGTGACCACCTGCCCAGTGAGAGTTAATACAGTTTATCAAAGTCCTCTGGTCTTTTCCTGCTCACATTGATCACAGAATGACAGAATGACTTAGGGTAGCATGGAGGTATAAAGTAATGGACAATGCTATTGTGAAGTCAGTTGACTCCGGACAGCTCGGTTTACTTGTATACTTTGTGACGCAAATAAATCAGCGTGAACTGAAGAAAACCAATCTCTCTTCTTGTTCGTGTTCTGGGGGTGTTCGTTACTGAGTTCCTAATAGTGAGATCCTGTCTCACCACGAGTCAGATAGATAACAGTTACTGAGCCAGCCGTTAAGTGTTGAGTTTTAACATAAGTCATAAAGTCAAAGAAGCTGAGCATCAACAACGGAAAAAACCCACAACAGAAGCATCAAAGATAGAACTGACTTTGACGGACACGTGTGTTGTGTATTAATAACTCAATTCGATTGTTGCTTTAGCCCCATCTGATTAAATTCAGCCTCTCTGGTTCTTTTTGCAAAATGTCAACGTTTACTGCAAGTTGTAGTAATACACTGTGATGCATGCTTTCAAATATAATAAAGGTTATGTTCCAATCATTTTGGAATTCATTCTTTTTCCAGTCTGAGAACTAAAGTATAGAGAATTAAACTAGGTTAATGTGTTTATGCAAAACATAATCAAAGTGCAGCTTTCTGCATTTAGAGGCTACTGACTAGAATCTGAATTCAGTGTCTTAACAGATCAAAAATAAGATCCTTCAGAGTCAGGGGTCAAAGGCTTATAGCCTTCCTCTATGCTATTACATATGCTATGCTCTCAGCTACATCAAAACAAGTTGGAATGCCATTTGCAGATAAACATAAATGTCCTCTATCACTGAGAAGGTGTGATTCATCCATCCGATTTAAAGATCTGCCAGTACTTATTCTTCTCACACTAGTGTGTAGGATAATATTTCAGGTTCAGTGTTTCTTAAATGCAGTTCGATGGAGTCCCACTGTATATTTTTCATATGAAAATGGAGAAAAATAAAATAAAATAAATTGGTATGATCGATAAGCATCGTGGTAGTTAATGTAACCTATCTCTTTATCGTCCACACAGTTACACAGTCCCACATTACATATGTTAATAGTCATATGCGTATGCATCAAAACAAACTCGTACTTCTGATCATAGACAACATTTTGATCATAGACTACAGCCAGACTATGCAGATTATTTTGTCATGTTTTCGTTCATTTTTAGTTTATCATAATTTACCCAACATGAATAGAAATTCTGCTGATATTTGACTAGAACAGAGCTATTGAAGTATTTTTTCCGTAGATGGCAATGCAATAAAATCACATACTTTGCCACTTTTTGAGCAAAAAGTGCTCTAACCATAGAGCTCACACGATGCTCCCTGCCATTTCAACTGTCCAATCAAAACAATAGATGTAAGAAACGGAAGCCGGAAAGGGACATGCGAGTTCTCCAGTGAGTACACTCTCATAGCTCTGGAGAAATGTGTACGACAACAGAACGCAAGTAGTCTTCATACTTTATAGTGAAAAGCAAGCGAAAGTAAATAAGTTCACTGATGCACACACTGATAAGTGCGCGGTGTGTTTTTAAATATAGCGGTTTCATTTAGTCTGTATTAGCAGCTAATGTTAGCTGAGTAGCTAGCACTGCTGTTAGCTGCATGCTTCCCAGCAGTTAGTGACAGTCACCACTCATGGTTGTGTATCATGTTACATACTGAGGGCTTAAATAGCGGCACAGCAACAATACTAGGCTTCAGGGCCAGAAACATTAATTGTCTATCGTTAGATTAGCTAGATACTAAGCTAACAAAGAAAGTTCAGGTTGTAAGCTAACTCTTAGTTATTAAAGTAGGACTCAGTGGTCTGTCTTTCTGTCCACACAGGTCTCCACTGATGTTGACCGGATGTAGAAGCCTTTCTTGGACATTGTTTTCACTCACCTACAGAAGACATTGTACCAGGAGGAGCTTGACCTCACGGGCTGCTCTCTGCTCCTCAACAGTTCCATCCATCCCTCCATCTCTCCTCTCATCTCACAGTCACGGCTTCTTTACAAGCCAACAAACGTCGGTCCCCCAACACTCCTCTCTTCAGCTCTCTCCCACCCGCCGCTTCTCTCTTTCTGCTCACTGTTCGGGCCCGATGGAGCTCAAAGAAGTTCTGGAGGTGTTGGAGCAGCTCGCCCCTCTGTCTCTGGCCGAGTCGTGGGATAATGTCGGCCTTCTGGTCGAGCCCAGCAAATCTCGGCCCGTTAAAACCATCCTGCTAACCAACGACCTTACGGATGCCGTCATGGACGAAGCAGAGGCCATGAGCTGCGACCTCATTATCTCGTATCACCCTCCGTTGTTTCGGCCAATCAAGCGTCTGGTTCAGAAAGATTGGAAGCAGAAGTTGGCCATCCGGGCTGTGGAGGCCAGGATAGCGATCTTCTCCCCTCACACTTCGTGGGATAGTGTTAAAGGGGGAGTGAACGACTGGCTGGTGGGGGGACTCGGTAAGATGTCGTTCTGAATGGAACATGTGTCACACACGCCTACAGGACTTGCATATTTAATTAAGGTATAGGCTAAACACACTACACACACATGGCACTACACATTATTCTGACCAAGTGTCCTCCATCTTGTCTTTTTTCCATCTCTGGTGTCTATCTTTGACTCTCAGGTAGTGGGCAGGTGTCTGTGCTCAGTCAGGCCCTCGGTGGCGCCTCACAAAGTCACAAACTGGAGTTCACAGTCAAAAGCACAGAGGAACTAAACGGTGTTCTGGAGGAACTGAAGGCTTGTGACAGTGAATCAACACTACAGCATTCAGTCAGCAGGTCCTGTTCATCTTTTAACTACAAGTTCTCTGTACTTTACCGAACTGCAGACAATTTCCAAAACATAGAATAGGTTTTACTTAGATTTTCTGTCATTCAAGCACCATTTTATTGTAATTCCTTCATTTCAGTGCAGCACGAAAGCAACTGAAACTTTCACAATACAACACCGCTATCTTGAAATCTGCTTTTTTTTTTTTTTTTTCAAAGTTGTGAAAACTAGGTTTGTGTAATATTTGAGTGTGAGTTTAAATTAAGCAACAGCCACTGCTACAGTATTCACAACATCCAGGCTTGGTTTGTTATTCTGGTTCTGATTTTAAAGCTAATTAGCTTGTGAATGCAATTCTGGAGTTGACTTTCACACCTCGGATATCAAAGCTTCTGGCAAAAGCCTGACACACAGACCCTGTTCCCAGCTTCATGACCACAAGCTGGTTCCATAACGTTGACACCTCATAAAAGGCTAAAAATCCTCTCTGAATGATTGCCTGTTGTAAGCAAGTGTGGACTTTAAAAAATACTGAAAAGAACATAAACTAATCATCTATGTTAATTGAAACATGGTCAGCAGTAACAAAATGTATACAGAACTAGCAGATGATAGGTTTAAACATGCTAAAACCCATTGATCACCACTAATGTCCTTTGCATAGTTAATGATAGTTAATGTCCCCCTCTCAACAGACCAGACAACAATGAGGTCCATGTGAGCATAACCTGCAGCGACTCAGCGCTGACACCGAGTGTCCAGACTCTGTTACGACACAATGCCCCCAGCCTCTCCCTCAGCATCCTCAAGTTAGAAAAGGTGCCGCACAAACGCTTACACGATGAACTGAAGAACATCAAGAGATTCAGTCATTTTAACATTATATTTACACAGTTTTTGTTTCCTGAAAACCAAATGTGTTGTTTCAGGAACACAAAGAAAAAACTGATTTCTTTAAGATGGAAACAGAGCTCCATCTTTTTAAAAAGCTAATCTTTACATTTCACAAAGCAGTTCATGGAAAGTGACATCCTGTTTTATGCATAGTAGATACTTCTTTTTTTTGACTAACTGTCCACCTTACACTCCCTGCAGCCCCCTCTCCCGGGCCATGGCCAAGGGCGGCTTAGTGTTTTGGAGCAGCCAGTCACGCTGGCAACAGCCATCCAAAAAGTGAAGTCCCACTTGGGTTTGAGTCACCTCCGTTTGGCTCTGGGATCTGGGCAGACGCTCGGTAAGCAACTCTTCTACAAACTGGAGGTTACATAAACATGTAAACAATGCCGAGGATATGAACACTTACCCATGAGGCGAGCGTTGGGTGCAGCAGGTGTCCTGAATGCTCTGGAATTTTAGATTAAGGGATGAAAGGTTGAAGCTTGTGGAACAACCAAGAGATCTAAATGTGTGCGTCAGTAAGTCTTTATTCTGATATTTTTCAGAGTCCTCTGTGTGTACTGTGGCTGTATGTGCTGGATCTGGAGCCTCTGTACTGGACGGAGTCAAGGCAGACCTCTACATCACGGGTAGACATTTAAAGTGTTCAAAACAATTGATACATTTTGTTTTACTGTCAATGTATTAGCTTGACATGGTAGTATTCATATCTATTGTTCAGGCGAGATGTCCCACCATGAAGTGCTGGACGCCGTGGCGAAGGGAACCAACGTCCTCCTCAGTGAGCACAGCAACAGTGAGCGTGGGTTTCTGGCTGTGTTCAGGGAGAAGCTGGCTGTGCGTCTTCCGGACAGTGTAACGGTGGCGGTGTCGAAGGCTGACAGGGACCCTCTGGAGGTGGTCTGACCGCCCTGGAGCCACAGCTGCACCAGTTAGTTAGTTAGTTACTAACTGGTGGATGCATCTTCACTGTTTTGATTGGATAAAATCCAAAATACAAAAGCGCCTTACACTTTTTCTAATGGAGCAGCTGAAATGGACGTGTACGATATGATTGCACCGGGCTCTTTATGTAAAGCTAGCAGCCGTAAAAAGAGTATTTCAATATATCTGTACCTCATGTAATTATGAAAAGTGCTTCCTTTACATGTTACTCTTGTTATCATAAATAAAAATGGGTTCTGGTTGATCAAAAACGGTTTGTAGGTTGGGTGAGACATCAGCCCACAAATGCACAATGAGAGCTGAATACAAAGCATGTCACCTGAATGCATGCGTCTTCTGCATGCAGCGGATTTATTTACGGACGACACACAGTGTTTTTTTTTTTAATCCTAGTAATCTGTGACATCAAGTGTGCCCTTTGGTGGTGTGGAAAGAGAATTTCAGCATCCACAAATGTTTCCCTAAAAGGAAGAGTGTTTGCATCTGGCTCACAGAAACAGTAATCCCAATCCGATTAAAAAGGCTTGTTGTTCCATCGTAAACATGCATCGTGCATCGACCACCCCCTGTCATGCAGGAAGTGTTCAAACAGCAGGAACGTCTGAGCCAACAACAGAAATTTAAATACAAATGCCTCTTATGGTATGTTCCTTTTTCTTTCAGTAACCTGACCTTTAGGCCTCAGTGAGCACACAAAGGTGCATATCAAACAACTTCGCATGTACATGTCAGAGAGCAGGCCTATGGTAATACTTAATGCACTTCAAACCTGCCCCCACAAGAGCAAACAAACAAGTAACAGTCCCCATCATGGGCTGTTACCGAGTCTGGTGGCTGACACACCTGTCGGTTCGTAAAAACATTAAGAGTCATCGCACACACCTCGCCGCCCCCATCAAGGTAATGACCGCTCTCTCTCTCTCGGTGTGATTCACACCTCCACTTCCCCTCAGACCTCACTAGCTTTTATCTCCTCCAACACACATATACATACACGCAGACACAAATGGAGAAGGACAACACCAACTAGAACAACATTTATTCTTCACTCCTGTGAAGTGACTCCAGCTGTCAACTCTTCACTTTGACAGAAATGTCTCTGAGCAGGTTGATCTGAGAGCATTTGAAGAAGAGTTCTCTTCTTCCTTTTCTGAAGTATTGATCCTGCTCACATGAAATCTCCCACACAGGCAAACAGTTTATTCTGTTTGACCACTTTAGTTGCAAACGCTCTACTTATGATGTAACGGTAATCCTCCGCTTAAGAGCATCTATCATCCGTTGTCTTGTCCTCCAAAAAGCCTCAGCTTACCGTTTTTGCATATTAAAGTCTTTTATGAAGACTTGTTGTGATCCTGGTTACTTCAACATGTTGTTACACCACCATTATTTAGCTGAAGACATCTTGAACTCTACTGCAACAGGTTTTCAGTCATGAAATAGTGTGTTCTCTTAAGACACTTCACATTTTGCAACCAAAATCTGCCTCTCAACCGGGCTACAACATCAAAAACGCTGCTGAAATGTTAATGCATCGGTAATAATAATTCACCGATATGATGAATATTAATATAACACCTACAAGAGAGACTCTGCTGCATAATGAGTACTTTCACTTGAGGTATATTTTGTTTATACTTCTCCTTAAATAGCATTTTGATTGCTACTTGCAAAGAGTATTCTCACATTGTGGTATTACTACATTTACTAAAGTGAATATCCACCTCAACTCATCTTAACTAATTGACTGTGTGGTCTTACCAGCACAGGTTTGTCTGTGTGGTCCACGTTGTGTGTTCTAACTAGAAATCCTGTCTGCTCACCAAACGTCCCTCAAGTGATGGCAGAATCTGCTTTGAATGGATTCTTTAAACAGTTCTAGTGCTAAATATTCCAGAAAATGCTTTTTGAAAGTTGACTTTAATACCCAGCTCACACTGGAATTGAAACTTCTAGACACTCAAGTTTGTGGCCAAATTGCAGCCATCGGCCAAACTGTCTTCCTCTTCCACCTTCGATCAAGGTCCCTCCCTGCTGAGAGGAAGAAACATGTCGTCAAGTCATCAAACAGCCACGGGGGTCCTGCCAGTAAACTACAAGATGTATATGTGTAAGAGGCCTTTTCAGTTTGTAGTAGCATTACCCAGAATTATTACAGAACATCTTGAGTGTCAGGTAACAAATTGCAGTTTTACATCTGACACACATACTGTAGTGACTAAATGCTTTATAAATAACAACAATTGAAGATAAGTTTGTATAATTAAATTATTAGAGCCAGCTTTTCCTGACATGCAGTGGTCAGTTACATCACACAATAATCAAGTTATGCATCAAGTTGATGCATTAACGTGCAAGCAACATTTGGCTGTTGCTGGTCGAGGTGGAGAAAATTTAAACTACTTTATATAGTTTAGGTAGTTTAATATTTAGCAATACATCATGTCTTCTCAGTTGAATTTATGGTTGTTGCATTTAAAATGCTTATCTGTAAAGTATCTAGTAAAAAGCACAATATTTGCCTCTAGTGAAAAAGAATACTCAACAAATAAGTGAAAACCGTACTTGAGTAGACGTCTACATACCTCTACTGACATGAAATAACACAAATCACACTCATTTTCCAACCTGACACCAGAGTAAACCCTAAATGTTGCAAATCACCTCTCTATATGACCGGTGTTGTTTGTGTTTGTCGAGCAGGGACAGGAGGGAAGATGAGGGCGTAGTGTGGAGAGAAGTGGAGACAAATAAAGAGCTGTGTAAAAAAAAAAAAGTGGGCCATTTGGCCTCATGTGTGAAGCTCCACACACCTATTTAACAGAGCAAGTCACCGCTGTGGGCATTAGTACCAAAGGACAGCAGAAGAAAAAGGAACGGACACACAGGTGACAGAGAACAGAACATTTTAAGAAGAGGTCTTCTAAACAACAGAGGATTGATATCACAAATCTGTATGAGGAAACTAACAAGAGTTAAAGTGTGAAATGTTACTGTGCAGCAGGTGAAGAGGACGAGTATAAGAACAAACACAGACCAGGAAGATGCTGAGTGTGGAGATGTACCCCAGTTTGACTCTGGGACCTCAAAGGATGGGAGACTGCTTTTACAGAGGTGAGAGGGAGCGTGTGTGTGTGTGTGTGTGTGTGTACAGGCATGCAAAATACATTCATGAAGAAATGTGATTTAATGCTTCTTAACTGTTTGCTTTAAAAGTCTTGCATGTTTTTCTGAAATACTTTAGATATACTTGGAGGGGCTATACAATTTGTTTTTCATCAACTGCTTCACGAGAGAAATTGGATTCAGATGTTTGCTCATTTAGTTTATTGGCAGCCAAATATGTTTTTTCAAGTGATTGAGCACTGATTGGTCCTTTTCTTTGCACAACTAAGATGCAGGTACACAACCATCATTTACACTGTGCTCTCCTTATTTCAACCATTCATGTAAAGGTTTTTATCCTTCCCATAGACCGGCAGGCATCGGCCCACATGCCGTTGTTCCCCCCCGCCTGTGACGTGGTGGCCAAAGCCCTGCCCCCAAGGCTGATGGCCCCCCCGCCCGTCCCCAACGACCCGACCACCAAAATTCCAAAAAATGATGTGAAGATGGAGTTGGAGAATGCGTCTTTATGGAAACAGTTCAGCTCTGTGGGCACAGAGATGATCATCACTAAGAAGGGCAGGTGAGAGAACCTCCAGTCTCTTTATCTTAACTTAATCCTCCTGTAACAACCATTCAGTTCATGTCCACAACTTCTCAAATCCTACAGTAACTCACAACTGCCTGTTTCTCACATCCTTTCTGCTCCTACTCTTAGACGGATGTTCCCTGGGCTGAGGTTAAAGCTCTCGGGCCTGAACCCATCTCTCCGTTACATCCTCCTCCTGGACATCATCCCATTGGACAACTCCCGCTATCGCTTCCAAGGTGGCGACTGGCAGGCTGTTGGCGGGGCAGAGGCGAAGCTACCAGACCGGGTTTTCATCCACCCAGACTCGCCTGCCACAGGTGCTCACTGGCAGAGCCGCAACATCTCGTTCCACTATGCCAAGCTCACCAACAACACACTGGACTCTCAGGGACATGTAAGTCCTGCAGACTGGCTGACCCGGCACAAATACAGGGCCAAACCTCCACTGGTAGATTAGATCTTCATGGTGCATTTTGAGTTCATTTTTTCTTTTAATTCCAGATAATCCTGCACTCTCTGCATCGCTACCAGCCCAGAGTTCATGTAATTGAAGCCAGAGACGTGCTGAGATGGGGCGGAGGGCAACACTCCTTCGTTTTCCCTGAGACCCAGTTTCTCACAGTCACCGCCTACCAGAACAACAAGGTACCATAATACTACGTTTATGTATGAATAAAGGGGCAAAAGATTCTGCACTAAATGACCTGCAATTAAAGTGCAGTTCAAGATTAAGAAGAAATTCTGTGTACCAATATCACGAGTAGCAGAGTCACGGTGCCCTGAACATCTTTCTGTGAGCAATCATAGATAGTATGTAAGAGATTCAATGCAAAATAAAAAAACAACTGAGAGCCAAGAACAGAGGCAGAGGGAAAGTAAACCAACTGCAAAATTGTTTCTTTTTGTTGCTTTTAGATCACAGAGCTGAAGATCAACTCCAACCCCTTCGCTAAAGGCTTCCGAGATGACGGCATGAACAGCAAAAAGTAATTCACAACATATGCCCACGTAGAAACACGTTACACTGTTGCAAACTTATTGTGGAGGAACTGAATCTAAACTGAATCTTTTTTTTTTTGCAGACAAAGAGATGCAAGACAGAAGCGCAAAATCTCTGTCTTGACAGACACCTTGGATATTGGTACGTGGGATGCCACTTTAAACCCTTAATTTGACATAACTCTTACTTCCTGCTTTGCCTTGAATTGCCTTGTCCTAAAACACCGCTTCTGTCTTTCTCTCTCAGTGAACTGTGACTCCACTGAGCTGCAGCCCATCACCACCAGCACAGACCTGCAGGCCCTCGCTCTGGCCTCTCTGCCCCAACTGCCTGACCCCTCCTGTGGGTTCAGACCAGATGGAGCCTCCTATCAAGATACTCTGGTCCCGGAGCATCCACTAGATCTCGGCGAGGCATTCATGGCATCGCAGATATCTGATATCGGCATCTCCATGGCCAATGGGATGCAGGACGCACCGGGAAGTGAGGTGGCGAATCATATGATTGAAAGGTAAAGGCAAGGTTCTTGCGTGCATGTTTCTAAATGCATTAAGTGAAAAATCTTTTCAACACTAAGATATATATCTGTTTTTTCTTTTTCTCCACCACAGATCAGACACTATTGGTGAACCAGCTTATACATCCACCTTCTCCGCTACCAACACCTCCTCTTTCCCCTTGGCTCCTCTCCCTCAGTCATCCTCCTCCTTCCCCTCCCTCCCCGTCCCTGACTCTTCAGATACATCCAATCATCAGCCTATCGACTATCCCTCCATCCTCTCCTCTTCCCCCACGCTCTCCTCCTCCTCTACTCCCTCACTGCAGCAGACCTCCTTCACCTTCCCAACTCCACCTCCCTCTAACTCCTCCTCGCCACAGTCACTCCTGTCCTCCTCCTCCTCCCCCTCTGCCAACACCTATCACACCATCCCAGAGACAATCAGCCCCCATACATCTACAGACGCCTCTTTTCCTGCCCCACCTTCCACATGTCATTCTGGACTGCAGGACCAAATATCAGTTCATTCTCTGCTCTCTCAACCGAGTCATCCTCTGCAGGGTGAACCTATTAGTAGCGGAAATAATTCATCCATTGATCAAAGCTCAGCAGCATTTATCTATCCAAATACCCTTCCAGCAAATCCTGATCCTGCTCCAGTTACTGCTCAGCATCTCCTCAACTACATCCACCCGCAGGCTCCCAGCCTGGCGTGCTCTCTATCCACTCATGGTGCCCCCACATCTTTTGCCTTCCCCTCTGTCCCTCCACACATGCAGAATCTGTCCTTTTCCAATGTGTCTCCCGGCTCTGCCCACCATGCCCTTCACCTCCCAAATCTGAGCCACCAAGCCCAGGCTGCTTCCTTCCCGCCCTCCTCCTTCACTCATCCATCCTCCTCCCTTCCTCACCCTTCCTTCCAACCCTCCTCTTGCTTGGCTGTCTCCTCTTCCTTCCAGCAGTCTATGTCCTCAGCTACCTCAATACCCCCAACAGCTCATCCTCAAAACCTGCGCAATCCCTGCACCTCCTCATACCCTCCAGTTGAGATGGGTGCCATGCCACAGTTCAATCCTGCCGCCCCCTATCTCCCAGAGATGGTACTGCACCACCCTTCTCTTCTCCCTCAGCTGGATCCATCACTTCCCTCCAGTCTTCCCTCCTCCACCCCTCCCTCATCCCTCTACTCTGCCTTTCCATCCTACCCTCTCCGGCTTTGTCAGGACCCTCACTCATCCCTCTCCATCCCATTCAGGCATCTATACAGACAACACCAGCATGGGCACGCTCACCCCCAGGGGTCCTACCTGGATATGAGCTCAAGAGCTGTGTTTTAAAATATACAAGAATGTAAAGTTGTAAAAAATGTTTTGGCTTGATAGCGCTTTTAGGGGCCCAATGTACTGTGGTGTGTGTCAGTGAGTCTTCCCAAGGGTTCAACACATAAACAGATGAATGAGATTGATCCAAATTTGTAAATAGCTGTTGAAGATTTTCTTTTCAAGTATCCATTCCAGTGTGAAAAATAATAAAAGAATCCATACTCCAGGCTTTTTGTGCAAATCTTTCACTGAAACACTAAACTAATAGTGACTGTATCACAGTTAGGTTTGTTGTTTTTAATAACATCAAGATCTTTGGATTAGCCGTCAAACAAATCACAGCATCTGTTCTGGGAAACATGCTAATTTGTTTATTTGTCAAGAGTTAGTTTAGAAGATTGATACCACTCTCATGTTTGAAGGTGATATATGAAGCTAGCTCCAGGAGACGATTATCTTAGCTTAGCTTAGCATTAAGACTGGAAACTAGCCAGCCGGGCCGTCGCAAATTATATCTTGTTTGCTTTTTTTGTGCAAAAGTCTGCAAAAACAACAAGTTGTTTCATGGGATCCATAAAATTCTGGGACCTGCAAACTATAGCCTACTATGCCATACTACAAGCGATAGGGTCGAGAGTTTTGCCAGCGATTAGTTTGCTAACTTGGGAGTAGTGAAATGTATGACGCGTCAGATTCTGTGATGCAGCTTCTTCTATGGAGGATTGACTTGATGAAAAAGACCAAAGGTTCAACCAGATATTGATAAATGAGGTTGTTAGTGCTCTACAGTTGGACCTTTACACAAAAGTTTCTGCTACTGGATCACGGCTAGCAAACTTTTGACACATGAGAGTCACATATTGGTAACAGGCAGCTACTAAAAATATATATAATAGTAATTGCAGGGGGCTTATAGCTGAAATTGGTTTGCAGAATTAATCAAAAAACAGACACCGGCGGCAACTCCCGCCAAACCACAACATGATGTTTTCACACCGAATTAACAAATCAGACATGACGCATTATTACGTGGGTTTTAAAGATGCTGGAGCCAGGCTAGCCCCCGTTTCTGGTCTTTGTTAACCTAAGGTACTGCGGCTAGCCCTTGATTAAATAGAATGGACATACATGAAAGTGGTATTGATCTTCTTAGCAAGAAGGTTAATCACAGTATTTCCCAAAATGTCAAACATTTCTTTGAAACTGTTGGGTAACATCTAGACAAATTGTCAAAATCACTCTTCTCACGCTCTGACCTCTCGCTCTCTTCTGTTTGATGAAAGGAAATACTTTGACTCATTTCAAAGCTCTTCATCTCTTTTACCTGCACAAACAGTGTGTGTTTCTTTATCAAAACTGCTTCAGATAAAAGTAATCTTTAACTTAGATTCACGACAGGCCGGATCACCTGATTGCAATGATTGCATGGATTCAACTCACTGTCCCGTTTCCTCAAGCTGAGGAAACGTGCTGAGTAAAGGTTTTGTAGTAATGAGAAGATCCACTTCCCCACATCACACACACACACACACACACACACACACACACACACACGCACACGCACACACATGCAATTAAGGTGATCAGATTAGTAAATCGGTAATCTTGGCGTTGTACAACATCTGTGCCGCATCAGTTATCTTTAGTCAAAAGATACCAAGGTCTGACCCACAGTGACTTCAACAGTGGGTCGGCCTGCCATGTGCAGCAGTTAATCATTTCCTCTCCAGACTCTTTTGCAAAACATGTTTAACCACCACATCCCCCCCAGATCTGACCTCTCCAGAGCGTTTGTTATATATCTACTTTTCTCCCTGGTTCTGTTAAAAAATCCTTAATTTAATGTCAGGTATTTTTACAGATCCTTATTGCAACACCCCTAGTGGATCACAACTTTAGCTCTGTTTCACTGTTAAAAAGGCAACATTATTGTAGCTATAACTATAAATGCAACCAGTTGAATTCTGCTACTTGACCCACTATGATTGCACTACTATCTGAATGCCTCATCATTGGCTTTCACAGCCGAATGTATTCCAAAGCTTCTCTGACAAATGTTTTTTAAACATTACAAAGAGAGCTTTTCAAGTCTATTTTGAAGCAACCGTGGTTTTTGGATTCATGATCAGGGTCAACTTGATGTCTGTTTGTATTTAGTCACCCATTAACTAGTGGGTTGGTCCAAAGAGGATGAATTTTACTGGTTAGGCAAACCTTCAAATCGCACCTGCTTTCCATCATTCAGGTCTTCAGAGAGTCACTTCTGGGAAGTAGGGTAAGGTGTTGCGATATACTGACATATTTTCAAGACTTTTTAAAATTTTATTGTCAATTTAAAACGTGTTTGGTAGCTTTGGAGTAGCTTAACAGACATGCAATTCAAATTGTACTGTCTCTTTTAGGCCGTTTTGTTTTTGCTTTGTTTCAAACACCAAATATCATTCAATGTCAACCATGCAGTAATGGTGATAATGTCTCTTTGACACTACAGATCATTCGACACCCACACACACAAACTCCAGATACAGTCTCAGTACAATACACACCTCAAAACTACAACAAAAGGAGATTCATGCTTCACTTCAAATCCTTGAGACACAACCTGCAAGTTGAGTCAGTGACAAACAAACACACATACAAACCTTTCCTGGGATGATGATGGCTCGCTTGCGTCCCTCACTCCCTCACCTGTTGTCGCTGAGGCTGCTGGGTACCAGGGTGTCCAGGACAGCGGCGGTCAAGCAGCCTGAGCTTCTCTCAGAGACTCTGGCCTTTGAGGAGCCCGGTGCCTTCAGGGTGAAGAGGTTGGGTGAGCTGCTCCGTGCTCTGGGCATCTTCACCCTCTGTTCCTTCCCGGTGCTTGTGAACAACTGTGGGAAGGTAAGAATTGAGTTTGTGAGTTGTTTTATTATTTGGAGGAAAGTGACATGAATAAGAGTGAATGGATAAAAAGAGTCGGTGAGGCCAACACATCATAGCAGTTCATGAAATAGTCACGAAATGCAATCTATTGGTTTAGTGATTTATGTCTCTTTACACTAACCAATAGATTGCATTTTGTGACTATTATACGATCTGCCATCATACTGTGCTGAAGAGGAATGGAGAGAGATATATCTTCGTCTCTATATTCTCTATAACAGGAATGTTGTAAAGGCATCGACTGTGTTGTCTCGTTATGATTCCTTGTTTTTACAGTCGTACTGTTGTGTAATGCACACTCTGAATGCATGTAATACACACTCTGAATATGTACAACAAAAGAGCTGCAGTGGTGGAGAAAGTATTCAGATTCCCCACTTATTTAAAAGTACTAATACCACACTGTAGAAACACTACAAGTAAAAGTTCTGCACTGCAAAAGTTACTTAAGTAAAAGCATGTTAGTAAAATCAGGAAAACATACGTAGAAAGTATGTAAAGTAAAAGTACTCAAAGCAGAAAATCATTAGATTATTATCACTTGTGGATTAATGTAAAAGCAGGATTTTTATGTTGCAGCTGGTTGAGGTGGAGCTCATTTTTTAACTATGTTGTAAAGGAATGCAGCTACTTTCATTATGGATTGATCTGCTGATTACTTTTTTGATTCATAGATTTCTGGATATATTCTAAATTCTGAAAATCTGAAAAAGGTCTCATATCCTAAAGTGACACCTTGATAAAGTTGATGTTTTGTCCAACCAACTGCAACGAAACAAAAATGATTAAAAGATACATTTAAAGGGAAAAGCAGTAAGTCCTCACATTTGTGAAGCTTTTGCATTCAAAGTGACTTAAATGAGAAGTAGAAATAAAAAAGACTCAAGTCAGTTACAAGTACTTTACAATTGTCTATCTACTTACTGTCGTCACATTCCACCACTGAGTCTGTGTCACGCCATGAATCCCCGTCCTCCTGTCCATCACTTTCTCCTCTTCTTCTCTTCTCACAGCTGATGTCAGTGGGGCGCACCCTCCTGGGGAGGAGGGTGTTCTCCTTGCTGCTGCGGCCCACCGTGTACGCCCAGTTTGTGGCCGGTGAGAATGAGAGTGAGATCTCTCAATCCATGGAGAAGATGAGCGTGCTGGGACTGAGGCCCATGCTGGCGGTACCAATCGAGGAGGATCTGGGAGAGAGCACGGGGTAGACGAACTGTTAATAACTCAGTGTGCTCAGGCTTGACAAAATAGACTAACAACTAAACATCATTTCACATTGTAATTGGAAGCTGATTTTGCTCAAAGACAATTAGAGGATATTATTGCAAAGTCAGTGCTGATTTATAAAGTCTCTCTGTTTGACATGTTGCACCTCAGCTCCTCTGTAAAACCAACATTTCCTTTAAACTGCTGTTTTAAAAGTGAAATGCTCTTGTGTGTTAAAAAAGTCATTGCTTTTTGTCACCACCAGCGAGAAGAGATATGACGACAACATGGAGACCATGTTGGAATGTGTGCGGATATCACACAGCAATGCCTGGAGCAAAGACCCGATGATGCAGCTGAAGATCACAGCTCTGCTCAGCCCGGAGCTGTGTGTAAGGCAACGGTTTCCTCACCATTCACATCGTTGTTAGGGAATTACTTCTCCATTGAACTGCTACTATCATATTTACTGTAAATTAGATGTTACGCAAGAAATGTCAATTTTCAAATGCAAAATCTTTCAATAGGGGGCGGGGGGCATTTTGATTTAGATTTTCTTTGGTACACCAATGAATTTTCTGACTATTTTGGTCACAAGGACAACCGCTTGGGATATTCCCAGCTGTTTGAGGTCAAACAGTAGCTGGATACACAGATACAAAGAATACAAAGATAAGAACACACATTAGAATGTTTGGTGTAGTGTGTAGACATGGTGTCATATTTCTCACTGACAAGTCTGAACTGCTTGTGTAAAGGTGAAACTCACAAACCTCATCACCCAACAACCGTATGACCTGAATCTTCTTGTCAGAGCGATGGATGGAGAGGTCAGATATCTTCCTTTTGCCTAGGTTTATACAGTATATACGAAGATTTACAGAGTTGATGAGGGTGATTCAGTTAAATTAAATGTTAAATGACCTCTGACCTTTGTCTAAAACTGCCTCTTTCAGCCAATCAAATTCCCTGGTTTAACTGAAAGCGAAGCTGCCCATTTCCTCTGTGGCCTGCAGAGACTCAACAAAATAGCAGAGGTACATGTGAAGGAAATGCATTCTACATGGGAGAACTGCATCAAAGTGACATTGTTTTAAAGAACTTTATTTTAGAGATCTGTTGTGCTTTTTTTTTAGGCAAGCGTAAACAAAGTCAGAGTCCTGGTTGATGCAGAGTACACCTACATGAATCCCGCCCTCTCTCTTGTCACCACTGCGATGATGAAGAAGTTCAACAAAGATAGTGCCTGGATTTGGAACACATATCAGTGTTACCTCAAGGCAAATATGTTTTTTACAAATGTATTTAAGTTGAACTAAATACCGCAGTAATAAGACTAAGTATGTTCTTACATTATCAGTTAGTCCCCTCTCCATGTCTTCCAGGAGTCCAGGTCTCTCCTATTAGAAGCTCTGCGGCTGTCAAACGATGAGGGTTTCTGTCTGGGGGTCAAGCTGGTACGAGGAGCCTACATGGACAAAGAGAGGAAGCTGGCAGAGAACGAGGGTCGTCTGGACCCCGTCCACCAGTGCTGGGAGGACACTAATGACAGGTGGAAAAGAGGAAGTGGTCAAAAATACTTCATCTCTGGAGCACTCTTTTGAAATTACTATGATCATCTCCGACAGTGAACTTGACTCCCAACACGTTTCCTCTATTTACTTGTGTTTGTGCAGTTACAATGGCTCACTGGATGTGATGCTGGAAGCCATTTCGCAGAAACCTGAGCGATACAGGATCATAGTCGCCACTCACAACGAGGAGTCTGTGAGAAGAGCCGCCAAACGGTTAGACCACGTCCTATGAAAACATGAATTAGTTCCTCTGCTTCCCTCTTCTCTTAAAGGGGAACTCCACAGATTTCACATCAAAAGAAGGTTCATGGTGCGACTCTGCTGCAGGTTATGATGTAGCTATTGTGTGTGTCATCTTCAGAATGGAAGAGTTGGGGATGGACAATGATGGAGGCTCAATGTGTTTCGGCCAGCTGCTGGGCATGTGTGATCACGTCTCCCTCACACTGGGTGAGCTGTAAGAGTTGGGACTGAACCTGCAAACCTTCAGCTGTAGGCCAGCGGCTCTGACCACCCAACCTCTCTTCATGTAAACTAATCTGGGCAAGAATTAAATGCTAAAATACTCTCCTCTTTCCTGCAGCAAAGGAGGGTTATGCAGTATACAAGTCCGTGCCATACGGCTCAGTGGATGACACGCTCCCCTACCTGGTGCGTCGGGCTCAGGAGAATCGCACCGTATTGCAGGGAATTCGCAAAGAGAGGGACCTGCTGAGGCAAGAGCTCTACAGAAGACTGAGCCTAAGGGGAGGCAGCCAATAGGCCACCTGCACAGTGGGAAACCCCTTCACGCCTTGAATTAAAAAGAGTCTTGTCCAGATTGTATCTAGATAACCTGATTGAATTTACATCCGATATTATTGCTCCAGTGTCCACATTGATATCTAACTGAGATCTGATCGTTCTGTGTGAAAGGGCTTAGCAGAACCCAACGGCACTGCATTTTGCATCAGCCTCACGACATTGCCGATGAGAGGAGTTCCTGTACGCAACAAATATAGTACTGATTGCTGCAGAAAGCTCCTGAGCCCATCACTCAAAACTCAGATTAATGCCAAGTGTAAAGGGGGTCAATGAAGAGGCATTGGTGCTGAGCCACCGGACACACTCGTAAGGTTCGCAATCAAGACAATTATTGCAGTTTACATCCATGTCTGTCCAAAAATAAAATTACAAATTTGAAGATTTCTGAGTTATAACATTAAAGAGAATGAATCATAAACCTACGTACTGTATATACAACTCAGAAACAAAGCTTCTGGCCGTGGCTGTTACTGACACGAAGGCAAGAGAATAGAAAAGTCTGATGTTTGCTGGTTATGGCCGAGTCTAACTGACCTCATCCTTAACCTTTTGGTGGTTTAGGGAATATCACAAACTCTACTAGCTAAGGAAAAACCAAGAGGAACAAATCCAAAGCACTCTGGGTCCTGAATATAATAAAGTCTTAGTACACGGCCTACACCAAACGCATTTTAACCTAAAGTGTCCGACTGGGTGTCTGCAGATTTGAGAGAATCAGACTTAAGGCCACATTCACACCAAACTAGTGTAGAGTTTAGTGTGGGATAAGAGGTTTACGTCATCTTTTTCTTTCCTGCTTTGAATTTATATTAAAATAAATACAACTGTCGTTTCATTGTTGTAATTGTTTATTAGATTTGTCAACAATACTTGAAACATCCGTCACTGAACTTACAGCCACAAGCCAGCCACACTGCAACTCCTTTATTATACAATTTTGTATCCGCTATAATAACCATAAAACTCTTGTCTAAAGAAGTTGGCCGTACTGAAATACCACACTAAGCAGTTGCAGTGGGAGGGGCTTTTACTGCAAAAACTTTCAGCTGTTTCAGCATCAACTGAAAGCGGTTTTGAGTCAAATGAAGGAGAACAGCCCACAGCCAAGTGTTGAGCACAGAGACCCAGATAGATGTTACTGTTATGGAATGGAGACTAGTTCAGGTGGAGAGACTGAAAACCACAGGGTTCAAGCTCAGTAGTTGCTTTGGTGGCCTTGATAGCCGCCATGATGGTTTTGATAGCCACCTTGATAGCCGCCGCCATGGTGGTTTTGATGGCCGCCTCGGTAGCCACCTCGGTAGCTGCCTCGATGGCCGTCTTGATGGCCGTCTTGATGGTTTTGATGGCCGCCTCGATAGCCGCCTCGCTGGCCGTCTTGATAGCCGCCTCGCTGGCCGTCTTGATAGCCGCCTCGCTGGCCGTCTTGATAGCCACCTCGCTGGCCGTCTTGATAGCCACCTCGCTGGCCGTCTTGATAGCCACCTTGATAGCCGCCTCGCTGGCCGTCTTGATAGCCACCTCGCTGGCCGTCTTGATAGCCGCCTCGCTGGCCGTCTTGATGGCCGCCTTGATAGTTTTGATTTCTGTAGCCGCCTCGATTGTAGCCTCCCTTATTCTGGTAACCACCTCTCTGATCTGTATACACGGAAAGAGGAAAACACAAGTATCTACAAGTGTCCACATGTCAGGATTTAATGAATCTTACATTGTTTTAATGGTTTGCACACATTTCCAAATATTAAAATTTAAAATGAGCCATAGCTGCAAGAAGGCTTCTTCAGAACTACTTGTTGGACGGTCAAATAGCTTCGACAACATTACATCTCCACTGTCTCTACTCGCTCCGCCTTCCAGTGCAGCCGTTAGAAAAAACTATCAACTTTTCCTGTTCGGACATAGCCCAACCCGTAACCGTACATTTTAATGTATTGCAAGTTGTATAACGAAAGTGACCGTTAAACGCACCAATGAATGAAGGCGTGTTGGCATAGGAAGGTTATCATGTGGTCAGAACATTCTTTTGCATCTAAAGTACAACCTCAGTGTGACGCAACAGATATTCTCAAGCACTAGTGGGCCTCAGAGTGCCAAATAAGAGGATGAAATTAAAAAAATACTGGTGAGGAAATATGACTGAATACATTGTGTATTATCGTGATGAGTAAGCAGAATATATACTTTGGTAATTAAGGCACAACATGTGTGTGTGTGCATAAAGTTACAAACGGTTGACAACCCCCAGATTAACATACCTCTGTTGTAAGATTTGTTCTGTTGGTAGCCACCTTTCTGATCTGTAATGCAAAGAACAACCAGTTATTATTATGGGGTTGAAAAGTGCTCAGTTAGAAACAATGTTAAGAGCGATGAGAGCGTAAGAGCTGTTCCAGGAACAGCATTCATAGCATTCAAGATGTCCTTTAATGTTCCTTATTGTTCATTGACAAACAGGGTGGAAGTAAACAACAGTACATGGTATCTCTTTCATACAGTGAAGCGCGCTATCCAAACTCACCTCTGTTGAAGTATCCTCCATAGATGCCTTGCTTGAGGTCAAAGACGCGCTCATTGTTCTCCACCAAGCTGCCCAGTTTCTCAGCCAGCTGCAGGGCCATGTTCTGCAGGGAGGTGGGCTCAGTGCGGTGCATCACCACGGTCTGAGTGGGCTGGTCGAGCGACGCCTGATGGCAAGAGGACAGAAAATATTTAGGACAAAAAAAAAAACAATTGCACAAAAAAAACCCACAAAGTTTATGCACGTAAAGATGCAACGGAGGCTTACCATCAGCTCCTCGTTGATGATCATCTTGCTAATGATGCTGTGAACGGTGGGTATCTCCAGCTCAAACATTTCAGATAGTGTCCCCATGCTGGAGGACAGACAACAATTGAAACACTTTCCACAGAACGAATTCTCATGCTGAGATCAAATTGAGCGTTGCTTGATCTTTAGTGACTATGCACCAACACTAGTAGGCAGTGTAACAGCTGATTAGAGACATGTCTGCTCCAAGTGGATACAAGCCGAGGCTTCAGCTGAAGGCACACTGGTCCACACAAACCAATACTTTAGTAGTGAGTGCAGTGGCATCACGTGCTTACCTGATGGAGTCGTATACACTGCTGTAGGTGAACAGATAAGTCCTCAGGGACTCTTCTTGGATCTTCCTGCAAACAGAAAACACAACCTTAAATGATTAAGAGATAATTCAATTTAAGTCACAACAGCAACTGGATAAGATTGAATAATGAACATTTAACTTTAAATTAGCTTATGGAAAGAATGGTGTATGCTAACCTGACGAGCATCTCGCGTACTCGCTGCGTCTCAGGAAACAGGTCCCACACTTTACTGTTCATCTTCTCATTGATGATGAAGGAGTGGCAGGTACGCCAGTCTCCCATCTTCATGGCCTTGCTGGCTGCCACCACATGCTCCCTCATGCTCTCTGGGGGTCCTGGAGGACAAAGAGAGCGACAGTTATCCTCTCTGGTGTCTCTACGGGTTAAACATTGTGGTGTAACGAGTATTTAGGGGACACGTTGCGTACCCAGCAGTGGCTGTCTCTCTCCCACCCTGAGCTGGTGATGGAACTGCTTGCTGATCATCCTGCGGCGGGCATCAAACTCATGGGCGGCCATGTAGGGGATTTCCAGCAGCATGGCCGACACCAGGTACACACACTCCAGCAGCTCCAGGTTGATGTGCATGTGGAATGGCACCTGTAAGGGAGGCAATGGTATGATGATGTCTTCAGTTTGGACCAAAGTGCTAAACCAAATCACAGGCAGACCGTACCACCCCTTGAGCCTGGGCGATATCGCCTAAACATAAATTATACAACGACGTGGGACGGACTAGCTCGCCAATCTGCTTGTTGTGTTAACCTCAGCATTTGTTTCCGGATGGAAGTCGCACGTTCAGCAGAGCAGAGAGACGCTTTTGGTAAGAAGCGTTCTGCTCCTCACAATTTCAAAAACGCATCTGATCGGCACGTAGGTAACTTCTTTTGGATTCAAAACGGCGATTATCACCAAAAGGTGACTTGTTTGCATGCTTGAAATGAGCTAAAATTCAGGGATTCTGCCCAAAACGGCTCCTGTGATCGAAGAGTCATACTAAAGTGGTTCTCAGAGGTCTTCTGTCTCATCAAACTTCAGTATCACATTTAGTCAGCAAAACCAGATTTCACCCAGCAGATGATGTTGGGCTTAACTTTTCTGCTCGTTTAAGACTTACTTGTCTTCTCTTTTCAATCTTCTCCTGCTCGGCGTTCCTCTCCTGCATGTTCCTCATGAGCAGGCCCTGACCCAGGAGCTCCTTGGCTCGGCCAGAGGACTGGATGTCCAACAGGGCGTTGTGGGCGTCTTTAATCATGCCCTGCCTGAATGCGCAAATGCCAAGTTGCACCATGGTTCTGTTGTACAGGATCTAGACGAGAGAGAAGATATGTACTTCGATGCAACGCTACACAAGAGAACATCTATGAACTCTAAATGAACACCGTCTGCCTACCTGTACGGGTGGGTCAGCGTGCTGGATGTTGTCCTGCAGATGGCTCATGAGCATCAGGTCGCGAGCCTGGTACCAGCGAGAATGCAGAGCGTGGTGGTAGATGTGGCAGAGGATAGCGCAGGTACGGATACGGTCGGTGCGATCCTTGGCGTAGATGAACTTGCAGAGGCGGTCCATGATCACGGCACTGTCCTCCCCCTCGCTCTCCTCCTGGTCCTGCTCGGACTTCACAGCAGACAGAGAGACAAGTTTCAGCACATCACACCCTCAGTAACACAACCAGAGAGACGGTGTGCCACTCCAGTGCTTTCCTTACCTTGGTCTCTCCCTGAAGGCCCAGGCTGCGTCGGTGAGCCTTATAGTCAAACTTGTAGTAGGTGTGCATGATTCTGCGTAGGTAGATGCGGCAGATCTCCTCTGTGCTGCCCTTGGTCTCCATGTAGTCGAGCAGCCGGTCGATGATGCCACAGACGTGTCCCTCGTCTTTCAGATTGTCGACGTACTCTGGAGCAGAAGTGGAGAAGAGAGCGATGAGCTACTTGAAAGAGCCGTTTGGAAACATCTACAATGACGGTACTCACAATTAAAAACAATACTTGTGTCTTATTTCTGGTATAGCTCACCTTGTGAATGGGGATCGGTGTTCTGCATGATCTTAGTAAACTCTTCATCCATCCTCTCTACCAGCGTTAAGATGCACCCGCGCACCCTAAACGGCTGACAAACAAATAAAGCAAGAAATATTAGTTTGTGCAAAAGATTAACCATTTCCATGTAAGTTTAAGACAAATGACAACTCCCCATGAATTAAAACAATGCAGACAATCCCCATAATATGTAGCTCATACATACAAGTGTCATCTAAATATACCAGAAAGGGAAAAAACTGAAAACGGGATACCTGGTCTGAGATGATCAGATTCTCACTGTCCTCTGCAATGTTCTCCCCGATGAAGATGTTGGTGTGTTCAAACAGGATGTCCAGCAGCTCATCTATACAGTCCAGGCACTTCTTCCACATATCAGGCTGAGGACAAACAGAGTCAGAATGATTCATTTACAAATCAAATACTAGGAGGAATTTCAATGTTTTCTTTTCCTCGGTAGAAACTCTGAATTTAACAGAAATTTTAACATATAAAGAAAAAAAAAAAAGAAAAAGAAAAAAAGAAGTCTCCTACCTTCATAAAGGCTGCCAAGTTGGGGTTGTAGTCATACAGGGAGGCAATGATGTTGAACTTAATCTTGACCAGGATGCCTTGGCCCAAGTTATTCTCAGCAGCGATGTTTGCCAGAAGGTGGAGCAGTTCAATCTGTGCAGCCCTGTTAGAGGGAGAAAAGGGGAGTGGGGTAAGAGATCAGAGGAAATGCAATCCGTATAATAGTGACATCATCTTTTAATAGATTCTGCACCGATTAATAATATTGGAAGTGTCACGTGAACAAAGTCTTTTCATTCCTTGTGATTTATAACACTTGCAAGGACAAATAACAGATATACAAGGGTATAAAAAACTAAAACAAGAGTATCATTATTATGAACAATGTGTGAAGTCATATTTTCTATTGAAGTGGAGCTTTAGTGAATGATGCTACGTTACCTGTCGGTGCCCTTTTTGCCTCTTGCTTGCAGGATCTCATTCAGCTTCTTCACCACCACCGGTACGTTGATCTCTGTGCCTTTGGCAAACATCTTAGGCTTTTCCTGACAGATTGAAGATAGCACACAACATAAATATTGACTCAATTTGTTGATTCCCTGAGACAAAATAATATTTGATATATGAACAGTCTATTGTTCCATCAGCAGTAAATGAATAAAAACTTTTGAACAATTGTGCACCTTTACCATAGGAGCGCCCCCTTTCACTTTCTCCCAGCCTCCCTCGACCCCCTCTCCTGCCTCCTCCTCCTCCTCAGCATCCTCCTCGAGTCGCTCTTTTTTCTTGGGTTTCTTCTTCTTCCCACCGGACTTCTTCTCACTGGACTTCTCACCATCCTGGGTCCTGAGGACAGACAGAGTGTGGTGGTAAGTATACGTACATGATACTGTAAGAGGGATAGCAACTGCTTGACCTGCTTTGGTTTACTTACTGCTAGGGCTGCAAGTTACCATAATTTTCATCTATCAGTTATTAATATTGTTATTTATAAAGCATCCACAAAGGACGACGTGGAGAGGAAGACTCACTTCTTGAGGAAGACCACAGCCAGGGAAGCATTCTTTCCCTCGCCGTCATCCGAGCTCTCACTGCCACTGTCTACAGTGTCTGAGCCCCAGTCTTCATCGTCGTCATCATCACTGGAAGAAGACTCATCCTGTCACGGGGGGGAAAAAAACCCGGCACATTAGAATCAGGTATTTTGCAGCAGGTTGCTCATTGCTCGTATGGTTTGCTGGCCTCTTACCCCGGATCCTTTAGCAGACTTAAGGAACTTGCTGGCCTCTGGGATGACCTCGGGCTTTTTCTTTAAGAAGGCCGTGGCTGACACACCATCTTCATCGCCCTCTCCCTCGCTATCAGAAGATGAGCCTTGAATAACAAAGACCAAGATGAATTTTAGAGATTACGCTTGCACTTACTTAATATAATCATTAGGTCTTAACATTCAAATGCTCACCTGTGATACAGGCACACTTTTGTAATGCTTGCAAAAGCATTAAGCACAAAATGAAAAAAGGCTGATAAGCAGCAAAGTTTTTCTCTTCGGGTATCTAAAGACTCTCTCTCAGTGACTTTTGGAAGTCATGAAACTTTTCTAACATATTTCCCCGATCTACTCTGTTAGGATGAACAAGGCTTGTTTATATATTTTACAGTTTCTTGTGATTTAAAAATAAACACCTGCATAAACAACAAGCTTACCAGAATCCCCTGCCTCCTTCTCCTCCTCTTCATCGGCAGACTCCTGTGGGTCCTAACAGAGAGAAAGAGAAGACAATTGAGATTTTACTTATACCTTTTACACACATGGAAGCTGCCCAGCACAGCCACAGTCTGAAAGGTGGCCACCGGCCAGCACCTATGTGGCGACAATGCATGATAGGCAAGCGCTAATCTTTTACTTTATCACACACAGATTCATGTTACATACTTAAAAAAGTCTCCCCGCTCTAACTTCAGTCTAGACGTGTAGTTAACATCCCATAAACAGCTATTTTTCTGTAGAAAGTTTCCTACTTTACCTCCTTGTATGAAGCGATTTCTGTTTCGTACTCTCTGTTGTACTTGCGGATCTTCTGACGTAGGGTACTGAGGGCTTTTGCATTGTTCTTGTTCATCTTCTTCTTGCCCTCTTTGTCCTCCCAAAGCTGGAAAGAAAATAATGTTGATCATTTCTACTCCACTGGAAAAGTGGGGACTTGGATATTAACTGTGTCAGACTGCATTAACCAAGGTTAACAGGCTTTGTTTACTGCAGGCAGAGCAAAAAAAAACATTGTAAAATTACATCGTTGGTGAGTTGTGGTTTAACTTTGAGCTACTGACCTGGTTCAGGTAGTCCTCCAAGTCGGCTAGAAGACGGATATAGAAAGGGGGGACACCCTCTTTGTCCACTATAGTCTTGCTTTTGAGGAACGCTCGACATAACTGCTCAAACTCCTCCAGACATTTGGACATGTCACGAATCTTCATGGCATTTCGGATGGTCTTGATGAGGTTGGTCAACTCCTCGAACCTAAGAAATACAAGAATGAATACATAAAGAGCACCTGTGCAGTTTTTAAGATATGCTGCTTGAAAAGATAACACACCAACCTTTTGTCTTTGGCGCTGCGCACCACTCTCTTGGTGTCCTCCTCATCATCACTAAGCAGCAACGACCTGCGAAAACAATATGCAAGGGTGAGATCGCCACAAAAAGTAGAACTTGAGTCCTGATTATAGGATTAAGTTGTACTGACTGCTTGAAATTTCCTCCGGGTGCTTTAGGGGTGATCTCATCAGCAGATGAGGACTCCTCTGACTCACTGTCAGACCCGGTGGCGAAGAAACGAGACATTGCTGAAGGAAACGGTCAATCTGTGAAGACACAATTAGATTTGTGAGGAATGATAATAAAGTTATTGCACCTGATCTGTTAAAAATATGTGCTACATGATACGTGTTGCAGAATAACTGCTTAGCTTCCTATTGTCAGATCTGCATCAAAACTAAATTTCCTAAAAAATGTAGTCAATTTGATTTGTTCATTCAGGGAATATTAAAATCGTGTGCCTTTTTCATTTTTTAAAGGAACTTCCAGTAATTCACATTACAGTAACGTCTGCTGGGTAAAATACACGAAGAATAAAACAAGTTATTACATTTCAGTTTGTACACACACAACAGGCCACAAATTATTCTGTCGTATCGTCAAGCTAGCTGTTGTTTGGCTAGCCATCGTTAGCTAACTCTACTCCGTCACTACGCAACAACTAGCTAGCCAATAAGAAACTAGTGTTAGCTTCAATAATGGACAACAGGTCACACATTTAAGACTTTTAGGGCTGACATGACATTTGTTTTAAAGTTAATTCAACGGTTTGTGCATTTTTCCAGACAAAAGTCGACGTGGCTGCGTGCAGACGCCGGTTAGCCACCAACGTCTGTACCTCAACGGTCTGTAACGTTACGTGCTCTGCAACGACAACCTTCGCTAAGCTAACTCGCGTAGACAGATGGCTCACAATAAGCCAATTAAAGTGAACATCAAACTTTAGTTGCAGCTACAAGTTTTACACGGTGCGTTTGATCAAACCCCACAAAACGAAAACAAATACCGCAACATATTAATTTGCGAGATTTACAACGTGAACACTAACGTGGCGCAGGGGTTGTTGATAAGCTAACGCTAGCACCAGCCGAGAGAGCGAAGGGGCCTCCTCGCATGTGTAGCCGGTTACGTTACCTAAATAAACTAAAGCACATATTAATCATCCGTAATTAAATCTAAATATCGAGACAAACTCACCTACGTCCTTGTGAAAGTTATCTTGCGGGGTGTCTGTCTACTTTGAATCGTTTTAAAATCCAGTTTTGCTGTAAAGTGGTCACAAATAAAAGGCGTGCGTGAGCCTTGCCGGGCACTTGATTCAGGAAAGGAAGTAGGATACAGAGGGACGGTTTACGGCAGATCTACGACAGCAACAGGCCCACGTTATGTTGCCACCCAGCGGGCGAACCGGTAAATTCACCAGACGTAAAAATATTCATCTAATATGTGAGCCCAGATTTGTAAAGAAGATAATAATAAACTACAAAGCACAATGAACTCTTCAGATAATTCCCAGAATATTTATTTAAAATACCACAGATACATGCATATGTGAGAGTAGGAAGCGGGCCCTTAGGTGTGAAATGCTTTAGTAGCGAACCCCCTCTCTCCACAATGTCCAGCTAAGAAAAGACTACAAAAATAAATACCATGCAAAAATCATGAAACTGACCACGTAGATCTATCCCAAAACCGTTGTCCCTTCCCTTAAATCAATACTCGGCGGCACAAGTAAACAAAGGAAGCGCGCTGAAAGCGCTCCAAACTTTTACGCGCACCAAATGTCAATCTGAACACACAAATGTAGGTTATGATGAAAACCAATCTTCAGACAGTTTCTACCGTTTAGTTGACCCATACGCTGCGAACAAACAAATTAAAAACCGCACGTATATGTACCAAATGCCCAAAACTACACCTTCCCAAATTCTACCTAGAAGTCACAACACAAACGGGAAAAAGACGGACGAGCCCCCAATGTGTCATAACCTGGCTCCTAGGCTGTGACAAATACGGAAAGGACACAAGGGATGATGGTAAATTAAAATTATTTATTATAACTAAATAAATAAATACTTATGTGAAGTGTGTCAGTTATGTTTATGCTGCAGCAGGCCCAGATGACGCTTGCAAATTGCTCTGTGCGTAATTCTATCAAAGTGGTGCGGAGTTCTCCCTTTTAGACTGTAGCGACGTTCCCCTTTGGGTTCGTTGAGCTGATTTTGCGTAGTGCTGTGGCGAGCGTGGTTGAAGCTCGCTTGGAAGCATGTCTGTGGTTTCAGGAGAGTGCTAGCTCGCTCGTCGCTCTGCTAAACCAGCGGTCTTCAGTGCATGAAGACCCACCACAAGTAGCTGCACGAAGACTAGGGATGCGCTTAGATTAGAAAAACTTTATTAATTCCCAGTGGGGAAACTCATTTGTCACCCAAAAACTCATACAGACGACACAGTCCACAGTCCACAACACAGTCCACAACAGACAGGAACACATTACAAAAGATAAATAACACCAGACAATGCCATATAAAACATGATCGACATCAGAAAGACAAAAACCTCTAAAAGGTGCTCATTAAAAAAAATCGGACTGCTGTTGGAACGAAATACCTTCTTAGTCGTTCAGTAGAACACTGAGGCATCCTGAGTCTCTCACTAAATGAGCTTCGGAGTCCATTGAAGACACCGTGTAGTGGATGGCCTTCAAACAAGACAATTCTTTTAAACTTGGCCCTTGTTCGCTTTTCAACAGTGATTTCTAGTGAGTCTGGGGTAAGGCCAATCACTGAGCCAGCCTTTTTGATCATCTTATTGATCCTGTTTTTATCATCCAGTGATTCCGCCCCCCCCCAGCAGAGCACAGCATAAAAAAGAACACTAGCCAAGATCCCCTGATAGAAAACACGAAGAAGCTTCCTGCTGATGTCAAATGATCTAAGCTTCCTCAAGAAGAAGAGTCTTGACTGAGCCTTTTTAAAAACAGCATCAGTGTTCTTCTTCCAGTTTAATTTACTGTCCAGATAGACACTAGTTAGCTGTGTTGTCTTTAGATAGCGGGGAGACTCCAAACCGAGTTGAGGATTATTCATTTATATACAAGGGTACACTTTGTGGCGTCTGCCTGGTTCGACTGTGTGCGTAAACGTGGATTTGGTCAGTGGGTAGTCGTTGTAAATACAGTTGAAATGTGTGAGGTTGAGGTGTTCAGTGTTTGATGATGCTGGAGCCAGATTATAGTAATATGCACACATAGTATCTTCATTACAGCGTTGTCCTTTATTATACATCACATTTACAGTAGAAAAAGGTAATACAATGAAATTAAAATCAGCATTATTCTTGTTTACGTCAGCAGCTCTGGAAAAAGAAGAAAAAGAAAAATGGATAATTGCATTAACCATGTCAAACGTGGGACAAAAAAATAAAAAAGTGGTATCTTGATACATTTATGAGACCAGACTAAAAAAACACCAAGACTAGAAGGTGGCATTTTTGGATTACTAACACTAATACTCTGTAACAGCGTTACAGGTATGACATAGCCTTAATAGCCAAACTGTTGCAGCCTAACCAACACTTAATTTACCTAAAAAACCTCAGTTTGGAAGTAAGAACATTACATAACTAAGCCAACCTATACGACGTCATTGAGTAAACTATTTGATACAGAAAAAGTCACCTGAGGGATTGTTAAAAGGCACCAACATTTCTTTAAATCTTGAACATTGGAGCATGTTGTTTGTGAAGTCACTAGAAGGGCGACGCACACTGTGTGACTGACGTTGATGAACATGTATTTACCTTCAGTCTAGAGAGGCAGAAAACATATTACGATGCTATAGTCAATAATGTCGCAATGTCAGTCGACTAAGAAGGACCACAGGCAGCGCTGCTAACACACACAACATGGCAGGTAGAAGAAACCGTTGACGTTTCATCTTGAGAGGTCCCAGTAACGTTAGTGAGGTTGTGCTCGAGGCGTATAAGACAGTCAGGAACGAGGCTAAGCTAACATTAGCTTGGTAACGTCAGTTGGTAGAACGGAAACAACTTTGACCTACCAAACTCAACAGGCACTCCTTGGTGGAGGTTTATATTTGTGAAACGACTTTAAAAAAATGTTTCGATTCGAGTCTGTCGACTGAAATATTTATCTAGTAAACAACCAAGTGTCAAAAACAACATCGAAAAGTTCATGAAGTCCCTCTGCGCCGCTCTTGGTTCAAACAACGTCACCAGCTTTCCTCACACTTATTGGATCATTCTAACCAATCACAGCTGAAGGCTTCTTCTTCGTGAGTTTAAGTTAAGAGAGAGAGGGGTGTCCATACGATGGAGCAGTACTGCCATCTACTGTCAGGATAAAACTACATTTTAAGATTAAATACATTCATGTTATTCATTTACCCTGAAAGGTTAAAAAAAAAAAAAATAATAATTATTGTAGTGAATTCCCAAATGAATTTATAATAAATAGTATAGTTTTGAAACATGTCCAGGAGGCTTTGTGAGCTGCAAAATGGAAATATTTTGAGGTTCTGAGCACATTCAAACCGTCTGTGGTTTCAGGTCTTCCACCAGCACTCAGTCAACAACACAACCAGCATCAATGTGGACTTCAATAGTTTATTTTGTCCTTTTGCACCTCAGAGAGATTTGAGACTTATGTCTGCTGAAAACACAGCAAAGTCCCCACTTCATGCACATGTTCATGCACTGTGTATAAATAAATTCCACTTATTTTTTCAGTTAAACTTTATTACAAAACATAGCGCAAATAATTGACTTAATGGACATTTCACTGTGTTTAGTTTCATAAATGCACAAAAAATCATCAATTTGCATAATATATTTAAATTCATACAAAGCATCAGAATTCGTCTTCTCACTCTTTTGCGGTTTTCTTTAGTTTGGTTTTCAGCTCGGACATAAGTGGGTTTCCAAATCTGGGGACACAGGAGAAAACTAAGAATCAGAAAATGTCTGAGCACAAGATGCCCATTTTGTGTTGAATATTATGATGTCAATACTCATAGACTGTTTTTTTTACCCTGGATGTCTTGGTGGCATCCATTTAGGTTTGTGTTGTGCCTCATCCTGGGTGTGAGTGTCACTCCTCTCCTCTGGCTTTGTCTCCTGTTGATATTGTTACATTTTAATAATGTATATACCCCTCAACATAAGAGAAAAGTGATATTCGAAGATTATTAATAATACCTGTGAGAGGGTGTTTGGACTACTTTCATCTCTCGCCACCCGTTGTGTCTTTTTTAAAACAGGAAATCCTGCGCCAAGCCCTAAAACAAAAAAGAGTGTGACATCCTTTACAGATTAAAAATAATTGGATATAAAAAGCTCAAGGTACTGGCTTTCCATTCATCATAAAGTGACCTACCTGGCAGTTTTACTCGAAAGCCCAAGCCTCCCAAAGGCACACCTGCGGGGACTTTGGCAGACAGATGTGGAGAGGGTGTGGGATCCAATGAGGGCATATGTAGAAGGGAGCGGGGATCTTTGGGTGGCCTTACACGAGGGTTTTTAACAGAAATTCTCGACCTTTGCGCAGTGAAGTCAAGCGCAGAGCTGTCCACCTGCAATTACAAACACAACTCAATTCCCACCATCTTTATATGTTATGAATACTGCCTGGTTTCATTCATGATTTAATAAGATGTTTTTATACGGTTAAATATGTTATTTTAGAAGCAATACCGCCATCTGATCTTCAGACTTTGTGGTTGGCTGTCCTGCCACTTCAGCCCTGTTTAGCCCAAGTAATGATTCAGCAACATCTTCTGACCACCCGGGCTGTGGTTCGTCCACTGAGAGCAACTTCCTCTTGGATTCAGTGCAGGTGTCGCCTTGTGAACCAGATTCCGTCAACACGATCTCATCCTCTGACGACGCCTCTGAGGCGGATCTAGATCGTCCTGATTCTGTGTGTTTGATTTCATCCGGAGAGTCAGACGCAGTCACCTCAAGAGGCTCATCTTCAGCTTTTGTTTTCTCGACCTCGAATAGAGAACTCATTTCTGTCGGTGGCTTAGCTTCTGCTTCTTCAGTGTCTTTCCGGTCGGATACCTCAGCATCGATCTCTTTCTCTGATACAGTTTCAGTCTCCGCTGATTCAACCTCTTCTTCGTCTGTTTTTTCAGGTGATTTATCTGATTCCTGATTCAGATGTCTGGCCTCTGGTGACGGGACTCCTGAATCAGGGTGAAATCCTGACTCAGCGAATGATTCCTTCTCTTTCAGATACCATTGCTCGGTCTCAGCTGCTTCCTCCATCAATATATCCTGAGATTCAGAGTTAGGTTGTTGGGTAGATAATTCAGAGATGTCTGCTGATTCTGACACAATAGCCAACGTGTCATATATGCCTTGAAATGACCCGCTGCTAGTTGATATCAGTAGCTGAGTTCCACTGTTATGAGCTCCCGATTCACCGAGAGACTGGTCCAAAAATCCAGACTCTACTGTCTTTGATTCATCAGCCGATTCAGAGTCTGTTAACATCTCAAGTGCTTCGGCTGACTGTTGATTTCTTGTCTCCAGTGACCCAACTGGTGGAGACAATCCAGATTCTGCCAGTCCCACTACCTGCAGATGTAAAATCTCCATCTCATTTTTGCTCTGCATTTCACCTTCTGGTGCAAACTGCTCAACTTCACAACCCGTTTCTTCCACACCTATCCCTGCATCTGGCATTTCTACATCTTCTAGTAGTTTAGTCTCGGTCTCATCGTGCCGTCTGAGGAATCCAGATTCAGTTATGTCTTCCAGTAAACTAGGAGTCATGTCACTGTTTTGCTCTGAGCTCAGGGCATCTACGGATTCCTGAAGGAAGCTTGTCTCTGTCATCTTCTGTCCTTCAGCCCTGAGGAACGTTTCCTCTGCTGTTAAAGCTCCTGTCGTCTCACTGCCACCTCCAGCAGCATCAGCTACTTTGGAATCACATAACCCTTCGTTGATGTCATATTCAACCAAAATCTCTTCAGACCCATCTTGCGGCTCTTTTGCCGCCTTATCGATCTCTTCTGTAAAGCCAACGTCTGACTCAAATTGTTCGATGCCCGTCTTCATTGAGTCAGCCAGTAGTTCTCCTTCCTCTTCCTCAAATAAATGTCCTGATTCTTGAGTTACTGCTTCGGCAAGTAGTTTCTCTGTTTCTTGAGGCAATCCAGCATCAAAGCTGTTCTTAACATCTCGTGTGCTTTCTTGCTCCTCTTCCATATGCTCCGTCACCAGTAAATAGTCAGCACCGGTTCCACAGCCACTGTTTTGAAGTCTCTCCGGCTCTTTGCTCTCCACCTCTTCTGGTAATTGGCTGCCCTGGATTTTCTCGCAATCTCCTTCCTCCAGGAACCTTTGTGTTGTATTGTCATCTGACCCAGGCACATTGTTGTACTCAGGAACTCCCTCTTGTGTTTCCTCATAAGTTGGAAAGTTTAGCTCCTGCGAGACAACAAGCCGGCCTTCACATATCCCCAGGTGAATATTTTTAAACGCTGCACTCATTTCCTGTCGCGTCTCGCCTTCAGTTTTTACCGCAACTGAGGTCATTGTACCTGCTTTTTCTATGACACTTTCTTCGTTGTCTACTTCACGGAAGAGCCTCTCCTCTTCTTCTTGATCTTTCTCAAAAAGTCCCTCATCTACTGAAATGTGTGTCATTGTCACATCAGTTGTTTCCTTAATCACCATGCTATGGATTTCTGTCTCGTCATCAACTACCTCTCTTGTTTTGGTTTGCACATCAGCGTCCTGAACCACATCCACTTGTATCGCATCTGGGAATTCAGCTGTGCGCAGCTCTGTTTTAGCATTCTGCAGGACTTCTTCGCTGCATGTAACATTTTGAGTTAAAATGTCTTCTTCTTGACTTTCTTCTGCAACTGTTTTGATGGTGTCCTCCTGCTCCGGCGCTTCATCTATTGTCT